ATTTTCACCTGTCCCTACGAGCAATAAAGTCTCGAGTATGCTACAAAAGAAAGGAAATGAGGTAGGTGTCCTTTGAACTTGGCAGCTACTAGAGATAATTTTTTTGACATCTAGAGATTGGGATTTTGGACCCACGCATTTTATTATGTTTTCTGGTTTTGTCATAATATGAAAAAAAGGTCGTTATAGGGCAAGTCTTTAGGTGGTTATTTGTTTTACGAGCCTGTTTACTCTTTTTGACCTTTTGACATTTCTGTATGTGAATGAGAGAGGGGAAGAGACGCTGGTTTGCTTTTGGACAATTCTCTAGATTTACCGGAGAATTTCACGTTAGGAGAAATTCAAAGACAATTTAGAAATGTGCCTAAAAAGGCGATATTTTCAACTATAAAAAGATTGTTTTCGCACGAATTCTCTCTCTCTATATACACAGACACATACGGAGTATATAAGTGTATGTATAGTCGCTTTCTCATAAATAGTTTTTAATGATTGTAGTAGAATTTTTCTTTGAGAATATTTTAGTTTCACGAAAAAAATATGAAAAGAAAACAAATACATCACGTGTAACGCTAGTAAGGATAAATGGACGGCCACTCCGGTGGGATACCTAACCCTAATGTCACCACATTTGACACTACGACTTGTAATATGTTAAACTCTTTTTAGTAAGTAATATAAAATCCTGTTAGTGCTTAAAAAAAGAGGATAAATGAACGGTTTTGTTATGAAAGTAATTATATTGTGGATGTTCATTTATTACTCTGCTATAGATAATCTTCCTGAAGAAGATTATCCATTTAGTACTCTGTTGAAATTTATTTACAAGCAACTGATGCAGGCAGGTTGCAAGCAGCTCAATGAAATGATTTACAGCAGCTTCTTATTAAACAGGTAGGTTGCAAGCAGCTCATGCAGACAACTTACAAGCAGCTAAAGAAAAGCCTCGCAGCTGCTTCCTTTCTTCTATAAATAGAGGAGTTTTCAGTTCATTATGTACATAAGTTTGAAAGTTGAATAATATATCAGATTCTCTCTATATTTGTCTTTACTTTACAGTTTTTATTTTATAACGCGTTATCAGCACGAGATTCTGCCATCTCGAGAAAATACTTTGAAAGTATCAGAGGTACGAACTTTCTTTTTCTAAATAATGTCAAATCTTTCTAAACTTGAGTTTGTAGCCTTGGATATATCGGGCAAAAGCTACATGTCTTGGGTGCTTGATGCCGAAATTCATCTTGATGCGATGGGTCTGGCAGACACCATCAAAGATAAAAATCAGGCATCAAACCAAGACCGTGCCAACGCAATGATATTCCTACGCCATCACTTTGATGAGGGCCTGAAAATGGAATATCTTACTGTTAAAGATCCAGTCATACTGTGGAATAATTTGAAAGATAGTTATGACCACCTGAAGATGGTCGTTCTTCCACAGGCACGTTATGATTGGACTCATCTAAGGCTACAAGATTTTAAATCTATTAGTGAGTATAATTCTGCTATGTTCAGAATTATTTCCCAATTGAAACTATGTGGTGATAGTATTACTGATCATGATATGTTGGAGAAAACTTTCACCACTTTTCATGCCTCGAATATGCTCCTGCAGCATCAATATCGAGAGATAGGATTTAAAAAGTATTCTGAACTTATCTTACATCTTCTTGTAGCCGAGCAATATAATGGACTATTAATGAAAAACTATGAAAGCCGACCTACTGGTTCTTGTCCATTCCCTAAAGTGAATGAGATGAACTTCCACCAAGCTAAGCGTGGAAGAGGACGTGGCCCCAGTCGTGGTCATGGCCGTGGTCGGGGAGGAAACTCTAATCGTGGTAATAACAATGCACCAAAGAACCCTCCTCACCATCAANAGCACACTTTATCGTAAACCAGAAGTTTACTGATTCAAATACTTTTGTGCTTTGGCATGGCCGTTTGGGCCATCCTGGATCAATAATGATGAGACGAATTATTGAAAATTCGAGTGGGCATCCATTAAAGAACCTGAAGATTCTTACAATGATAAATTTTCTTGTGATGCTTGTTATCAAGGCAAAATGATCACTTGACCATCACCAATAAAGGTTGGCATTGAATCCCCTACCTTTTTAGAACATATACATGGGGATATATGTGGACATATTCACCCACCAAGTGGGCTGTTTAGATATTTTATGGTCCTAATAGATGCATCTTCAAGATCTGCAATTGATAGCAAGACCACTACTTATGAAAATAAAATTGCCCACTACTGTTTGGGGCCATGTTATCTTGCACGCAACATCACTTATCAGTCTCAGACCAACATATTATAATAAATATTCTCCGCCATAATTTGTTTTTAGTCATGAACCAAATATTGCCCATCTATGAATTTTGGATGTGCTGTATATGTGCCAGTAGTACCACCACAGCACAGTAAGATGGGCCCCCAAAGAAGGTTAGGAATATATATTNTTGATAGTGGAACAACTCATGCCATATTCAAAGATCAGAAATACTTTTCTTATTTGCATAAGGAAAAAGCAAATGTTTCTACAATTTCTAGTAATATAAGTTTGATTGAAAGCTCCAGAAGAGCTATTGTATTTCTATCTAAGGGAACAAAACTTATTATAGACAATGCATTATTCTCTNTACCCCTATATGTAATCAGGAGGTCCAGAAGATCATCCATTTACAAAATATAGCAAATCAAATACCAGACGCATTTACTAATTTGAAAAGGATAACTAAGTCACATATCCCTGCAGAGAATGTGCCTATACGAATTGATGTCCCAGCAGGACCATCTACTAGCATAAGAACTAGTGAACCTAAAGCACGCCTGAAGCGTGGTAGGCCTTTGGGTTCTAAGGATCGAAATTCTAGAAAAAGAAAATCGACAAATGATCAAAATGATATTATGAAGGGATCTCCTGAAGAGACCCAAGATCTGATTAGTTCTGAGATTCCTGAAGAAATCAATGAACCCGAGACTCAAGTGAGTGAGGAACTTTTAATAAGTTCTACTGGTGATGGGATTAATTTAAATCGATCTGAAATAGTGGTGGATAATATTTTTGCATATAATGTTGCACTTATTATTATGCAAGATAGTGAAGATTGTGAACCCCGATCTGCCGAAGAATGTCAACAAAGATCTGATTGGCCAAAATGGCAAGGGGCAATTCAATCAGAATTGAACGCACTTACTAAAAGAGAGGTCTTTGGACCAGTAGTCCAAACACCTGCTGGTGTAAAACCAGTTGGTCATAAATGAGTTTTTGTGCGAAAAATAAATGACCAAAATGTAGTTGAAAGATACAAAGCTCGCCTTGTCGCACAAAGATTCTCACAACGACCTGAAGTCGATTATGAAGAAACATATTCACCAGTTATGGATGCCATAACATTTCGATATCTCATCAGTTTAGCCTTACGTGAAAGACTTGAAATACATATGATGGATGTGGTTACAACTTATCTGTACGGGTCACTTGATAATGAGATTTACATAAAAATTCCTGAAGGATTTAAAATGCCTGAAGCATATTCGAAATCTCGGAAAATGTATTCAATCAGATTACAAAGATCTTTGTACGGTTTAAAGCAATTTGGGCGCATGTGGTATAATCGCCTTAGTGAATATTTATTGAAAGAGGGTTAAATAAATGATGTTATTTGTCCATGTATTTTTATAAAGAAAATGACATCAGAATTTGTTATACTTGCTGTTTATGTTGATGACATAAATCTTGTTGGAACTACAGAAGAGCTCCAAAAGGCAATCGAATATCTTAAGAAAGAATCTTTATGCAAATAATTATANATTTATTACTCCGCTATAGATAATCTTCCTGAAGAAGATTATCCATTTAGTACTCTGTTGAAGTTTATCTACAAGCAGCTGATGCAGGCAGGTTGCAAGCAGCTCAATGAAATAATTTGCAGCAACTTCTTATTAAACAGGCAGGTTGCAAGCAGCTCATGCAGACAGCTTACAAGCAGCTAAAGAAAAGCCTTGCAGCTGCTTCCTGAAAAGCCTCGCAGCTGCTTCCTTTCTTCTATAAATAGAGGAGTTTTCAGTTCATTATGTACATAAGTTTGAAAGTTGAATAATATATCAGTTTCACTCTATACTTGTCTTTACTTTACAGTTTTTATTTTATAACAAGTTTAAATTTTTCCTTCGTTTACCTGAAAAAGAAAAAATAGGTTTTAGAGTAAGAAAGTCAAACTACTTAAAATAAATTCTTAATTTTAAAAATAATACTGTATTTTCGAATCGAAATAAAGAGTACTACT